GTTTGCCTTCCTCCTTCTTTAAGGAGCTTGGCTTCTTCTTCTGTACACCTGATGGCACTGAAGAGGCTGACTCAGGGTGAAAAAGATCATCAATGTTTCCACGAAAGGGCTTTGCACGATCAATGTCACTTCTGACAATGTCATCTGGGATCACGTAGTCCTCCTTGATCTTGTAGATGGTCTTGCCCTTCCAGAACTCTTCACTCTGTTCAGAAAACCTCTTCTTCTCAGTGCGCCAGTTGTCCTTGTGAAGAACCTTCTTCTTGCTCTTCTGGAATTCAATGTGGGTTTCTCTCTCATCAAGAAGTTGATCTTTTGGAATTGGAGTTTTCTCTGATCGAGTCATCTCATGTAAGTTCATTCTCTTGTCCTTGTGGTGCCTGATGAGTTCACGACGTAGTGGATCAACCTGCCAGTAGTCACCAGTCACCAAAGCTTCTCCTTCATGATCATCTTGTTTGACAGCAATCTGACTGTACTCAAAGTGATCGTGTTGTGAATAGAAACTTTTGACTTGTGGAGTCTTGAAATGAACTTGGCTCATGTACCATGCTACATCTTGTAGGTCGAGAATGAGATGAGTACTGATGGCTGTCCTCAAAACCATTTTTCTCCTGCCAATACGTGCACAGGACAAATAAGCCTTCTCTGGAGTAAGTTCAAATTGAAATCCAAGGTTTCTCATCTGTGGAAGTGACATCAACAATGGGACATCACCTTCTTCGACAATGTCGAATTCTGTAAACTGAGTGTTCCATCCATGATCATACATGAATATCACGAGCTTCTCAGTACATTTTGATTGTTGTGAGTTTGCAAAGAAGAATCTTGAACTTGTTGGCTGAATTTCATACCAGAGTCCACTGTTGGGATGTGAGTCAACATATCTGCAAAATGCTTCAACTGCTCGTCGAGAGCCCATAGCTCTTGTGCATCCAAGATCCAGAATACACACAGTTGGTGGTGCAGAATTCTCTGTGTGAAAAGCTAGTCCATTCTCACATGCCAGATCAGTTTGTACAGTATGAAATGAAAAAGCACTCTGCTGTGATGGTTCCTCTATCTCTGTAGAGCATCCATATGAAAACAATGATGTGCCTTCTGCCAATGGCTTCCATGAAGCCTCACCTTCTTGAAGACCAACTTGCCTGGGCACTACAGCTGGACGTTGTTGTACACCTTGTCGTAGTGCACCAACTTCTCCAACCAGAACAGGGAATCTCTTCATTTCTCTCCTGTTTTGCTGTGCTCTTGCATCACGTTGGTTCTGTCCTCCACGACGAGTGCGTCGTTGTTCATCTTGTGCTGCATACGTGGATGTCAAAACATCAACACGAGCTGGCTCTGTCTCTGCAACATCAACACGTGCTGGTTCAGTTGTTCCAAATGAAAAGAAACCATGACCAGAACTTGAAGCTGCAGAAGAATAATGAGCTTGTTGAGTTTGTTGATTCTGTATGGCAGGAGCTGATGTGGTCTGAGGTTGAACATAGTTCGACTTGCCTTTTCCATCTCCTGGCTTTCCTCCTTTTCCATCATCATCCTTGCCTTTCTTGCCTTTCTTTCCTTTTCCTTTTCCTTTTCCTTTCCTCTGGAAATATCCATACTCATCCATGTAGTATGAATCATCATAGGCCCAATAGCCTTCATTCCAGGTTTGATCATCGGCCCAATAGCCGTCATAGTTTTCATTCCATTCATCATCTTGCCATTCATCTTCATAACCTTCTTCACTCACCATGTGAGAGCGGCCTTTCCTTCTTCCTTTTCCTCGGCCTTTTCCTTTTCTTGATCTGAAGAATCTTCGTCCTCCTCTGCCTTTTCCTTTTCCTTTTCTCTTTCCTTTACCTTTGCCTCGTCTGATGTATTTGCCTTGGAACCTTCTCTGATACCATGTGAAGTTGGCGTCATCATAAACCCAGAAAACATCTTCTAAAGCATCCAGGAATCCTTCTGCGCCGTCTTCTTCATCTTCGGCCCAATAGCCGTCGGTTCCTTCTAATTCACCTTCATCCAGTACGAGGAAAGATCTTCTCTGTGCCATGCCAGAGGGTTGCATCAATGGATTGTCAACTGCTGTTTTGGTAGTGCAAAACATTTCCAAGAACAGGTCACGTAGTTCTTGAATGCTGTATCGATCGAGGGTTCGTCCACGATGTGTCATGATACTTGTGAGTGTGTTTCTCTGATCTTGACTCAGGTCAGCTAGACTTACAAAAATCAATGCTAGCAAATTTTCACCCAGTGGGAATGCTTGTCGCTGTGCTTCTCTACGATTTTCCTGAAATTGTCTGAATGCCGCTAGTGCCAGTTCATCTGTCCAAGGAACAGCTACATGGGGTGTTCCTGAGGCTGCTGCTACTTCAGCTCTCTCTTGTTGATCTCGTTCATGTTCTTGACGTCGTTGTTGAACAAACAGGATTGCTTCAGGACTAGTCACTGTTACTTCTGGAAGTAAATCCATCCAAGACTCAATAAGTCTATTGCCAGTGAGTTGAAATCTAGTCATCCACTTCTGAAGATCCATGGTTCCTCTGTTGAACTTCATGAACTGCATGAAACGGTATAAGAACACGTTCTGGGCACCTTTGATGAAATGAGGTCGTAGAAATCTTTTGAAATAAGCCACTCCTTCATAGGGATCCCTGAGTAATTCTCTATCCAATAGCCTCTTGTATTGTTGAGCATCTCCTTCCAGTCTGTTGCGCAATGCTGGACCACGTTTCTCTGGTTCTAACTCCGTAATGTCACACCAGTCATCAATTGCATCCTCAAAAGCAAAGAAGCTGGTTCGCCCATCATAGGCTGGAGCAACCTTTGTGGTCATCTGTTGCGTCATATGAATCTGTGTTTGCTGGGGTGCTCTTCTCATTGCATAAGAGTCATATTGGTTCCATTCATTTGCATCGACAATGTCGAAGTCATCATCATCATAGCCATGGCTTGCCATTGCTTGGGCTCTACCTGGAGCTCACCCTCAATGAGGGATCACTGCTCCGCTACCACTTGAAGAGGGGCCCTAGCGTCTACTTCAAGATCAGCTAAGGCGTCTTCCCCAATGACAGCACTTGTTTTACTCAGCCTGTTGCCGGTCTGTGCTTGTCTACAGGGTTACTCTATATACCTCTTGAGCCTTGAAGGGCGCATATAAATGTGCTCAATACTCATGCATGTACCTATGTAGGTATTAGGTCGAAACAAAAACAAGGGGGGGGGTCCCCCCCTTTCGCGTGAAAAATCACGTGATGTCCTTGAGCAGCCCCCGGAATACTTGCTAAAGCAAGAAGACTCCAGCTAGCTGACGCTAGCTTTCGTGATATGGTTTTTATATGGTTTTCATATTGTTTTTATATGGTTTTCATATGGTGTTTATATGGTTTTTATATGGATTTATATGGTTTTTATATGGTTTTTATATGGTTTTTATATATTTTTATAGTTTTTTTTTTTTTAAATACGGTTTTATATGGTTTTAGATTGTTATATGCGATTAAGTTGTATTTATGATATTGTGATGTTGTGTTGTTTTTACATGGTTTTGTATGGTTGTTATAGGGTTTTAAGGGTATATATCTGGGGTATAAATGAGAACATTTATGGAATATAGAAGCCTATATAACCTAGGATTTGGGGTGTGTCTGAAAATTGGCTATACACCAAAGCAACATCAATTGGAATAGAGAACATGATTATATAATCAACTAGTGGGTTTGGGGTACCACATAAAAATCGGTTGTAAGACAGACCCAAATGGCGATATAGAATCAAGAAGCATGGGAAGTTGAATACTTAACTTTACTTATCCAACTATAACCAACTATAGCCTGGTTGGTGGTTTCAACCAACCCCTCTGAAAAATGATGGAGTTCGTCAGTTGGGATGATGACATTCCCAATATGATGGGAAAAATAATCCAAATGTTCCAAACCACCAACCAAACATTAATCACCATTAACCAACATCATTAACCATCATTAACCATCATTAACCAACATCATTAACCATCATTAACCATCATTAACCAACATCATTAACCATCATTAATCACCGTTATTATCCATAAGATCCAGTGGCTTCCATATCTTTAGGCCATTCATCTTGGATCACTGACTGGGATTCCGCAGATTCCCATAAACCACCAACCAACTTGGGATTTAGCTCAATTTAGCTGAGAAGGGGTGAACCAACCAACCACTTTGCATTGAGGCTGCGCTTGGATTTTTGGCCAATTGGATAGACATAGGGAGCAGATTTAACCAACAAGACGTGGGATTTAACCAACAAAGTCATTGACATTTAGGTATTTCTGTAACTGGATAGAACTAGGAGGTTAACCCTTAACACATGCTGATTTGTAACCAGCTTGTGATTTCAAACCAACAAAAACTGTGGTGTAAATGACATAGTCCAGCATAAACATGGGAAAGCATTAATTCATGACATGTATATGTATATGTATATGTGTATGTATATGTATATGTGTATGTATATATATATATTACAAACGCTTCAAACAAACACTTAAAACACGTCATCTATGGCAAGCTTCGGGTCTGAGGTTGCTCAGGAGAATCAATCCAATTTTGGCATCAAATTAGGGCCCCGGAATCAGCACAATTCATCCCACTGGCATCCATTATATATATATATATATATCTGGTTGATGGTTTCAGCCCCACTGAAACATATGAAAGTCAATGGGAAGGATGACCAACCCATACATGAAATAGAACATAAAATTCATGTTCCAAACCACCAACCAGATATGAATTATCATATGTTATACCATGGAATGGTTGGCTTCTAGCCAAGGCCCCCAGAATTGCCTTCTGTTGGGAATACCCTCTGGTAAACTAACATAGCTATTGAAAATGGCCATTTATAGTGGATTTACCCATTGAAAATGGTGATTTCCATAGCTATGTTAGTTTACCAGGGGGTACACACTCCAATCACAAAAACACTTCAATACTTCAACCATCTGTCGCCCGAAGGGACACCTCGCCCAATCTTTTCGCTCCTGCGACGGGCTGGGGCGGTGTTTTGGGTGATTGGTGGCGGCATCAACAAAACAGGTACGTAACATGAGCATCACGAACGATGCCCAATATCCCAACCATCAACTGGGTATCCGTCCAAATGGTCAAACCCCATTTGCATGGATGGTAAAATATGGTAAATGACACATTTAATGGTAAACTATGGTAAACTATGGTAATATAGTGGTCCAAATGGTATTTAAAAATAAATTAACATGACCCATTTTGTGAGCGAAATATGGTCCTTTGGTACCCTCTAGAAATCCCATGATCTTCAGAACCTGGGGTCCTGAAAGTGGGAAAGCGACAATCTACATCGACTTGCAGATTGTCCCCACCAATGATAACCCAATTATCCAATGAACAATAATGAAAATAACCACTTTTAAGAATAAAAAAGGGCGGTTTCCCTTTCCGATCAACATTTCCAGATCAGTGACTGAATGATGTCTCGCATAGAAACCCAATCCCACCAAGGACTTTGGCCCAACATTCCTTCGTCTTCAAAGTAGCACTTGCGAAGAGTGAGCGACACCAAACTCTTGTAGTGATGCAACCCAGCCTGCCGGTGTCTTCCTTCGAAACTTGAGGATTTTCATTGATGATTTTTGGATGCTTCAATTTCTGTCATATTTTGACTCATACTACTCATACTAAAATACTTGTAGACCAGTGATGGCAGCACATATTCAGATACTGAAAAAAGTGCGTGAATTTCAGTGTAGACGATATATTGCTTTTTCATATGTTTTTTTTTGTGGCAAAAAAACAAAATACATGCTACAAATGAGACCGATTGATCGCACCTCAACAGGCGCCATTACTCCAATCTCTTAGTTGTTCCCATCTACGGGTAGTTGATGTAAGGATGTTGTAATCGCATTTTGCACCCTGAAAAAATGACACTGAACCCCAAACCTCTGCGGAAGATGACGTTCCCGTTTAAACAAAAACAGGCATGTATATATGGGTTCTGTTTGGATTCTTCATTATAAGGTGTCTGTGGTAATCCAATCCCAAAATTCACAAAGTCTCCTTTGGTATCCTTTATCCCCATCATTTAGTTTATGTTCGCTAAATGTCAATTCAAGCGCTTGGACATGTCATTTCTGTGGCTGAAATTGCCAGTTGTTTCTTTCTGTACAGAAAGGGAATGATCACATTGTTCAGATGTTTCACATTTCAAAGAATTTTTAGATGGATAAACCGAATTCCAATCCATTTCTCTAGGATTTTCTAGACATAGATCATAGATCTGTATGTCATCATGATGAATTTGAAGCAAAGTTTTTTTTTAAAATGTATGTCTCGCTGGTTTCAATCGCCAGGTCTGTTCGACCCAGTCTGTTCGTTCGTTCCCCTCGGGACGATCGGATGATCCGGCCGCCAAAATCTGCAACTCGCGATCCGGCAGGCGCTCTTGGATCAAGGCTTCACAGCTGGCAGCTTTCTCCTGGGACTGGGAAGGCTGGGAAGGGGCTGCAGAGATTCTGGTCGCATTGGAGTCACTAACATGATCTGATATGATGAATTATGATGATATGATATGATGTGTTTGTCATCACTGTTAACGTTTTTTTTGCTAACTAGCAGGGTTCTGGTCACTATCGTCATCGTCATCGACATCGTCCTCGTCATCGTCATCGTCATCATCATCATCATCATCATCATCATCATCATTCACAAACTTCGGAATGGCGACCAGCTTGTGGGGAGATTAATTTGTAGGGATTTTTGGGCATCTCAAAAAGTACTTTTTGAGCTATTTTGAGCCAAAAGTGAGTCGTGCTAGCATCGTGATAACATCAACGTGTTTCACAGGTTTGAAAACGTGACATTGAACAACTTTGAACCCAAAAACCAAAAAATGAACCTTTGAAATGAAATTTGGTATTGCGTTTGTGTGTTTTCATTGGTTTTTGTTCAAAGCTTGAACTGACATGAAATATGGTGTTGTCATTGTTGCCGTTGTGAATAGCCTTTGTCACTTGGGTCAATTGTCATGAGGCTGCCACCTAACATGTGAACACGAACAAGTCAGCAACTTCAAAAGTAGAAAAAATGAATATTTTCAAGGGAATAACATTTTTCATTCGTTGGGTAATGTATAAAGTTTGATGTTTGATCGCTGCGCCAGCATATAGTCACATTGCCAACACTGGCCAGCACCAAAAAATATTTACACATATGTCTTATGTACGCAAGCAGAAATACATGTGTAAACAAAAACGTTTTTTTAACGCTACCATGTGTACGCAGGAAATGAAATATACAAGCAGAACATGGATATGAAACGTTTTTTATATAATAAAAGCGTGCTTTTACAACAGTATCTAACCGTGAACATTGTTGAATATCTACTGGCATACCTGTATACACATACGGTTGTGGACCTGGAAATTGAAAAGTCAATATGTGTGGACGTGCGCACATACCTATCCTTTGAAAAAGGCACTAACTAATTAGCATTTATGTTTACAAACCTTAATTACGATGTGTTTCCTTAATTGAGGTTTGTTCTTCAGTAATTGAGGTTTGTTTGCGCAAGAAACAAACTTTAGTTAAGGGAACAAAGTTTCAGTGGAGACTGTGGTTTTGTAAGGTTTGTTTTGAAGGCTCGTTTTTTGACACATGTTGGCACACATGTGTGATTCTGCGTAGGCATGCAATGGGCAAAAGGAACATATATACACAAATGTATATATATATATATTTGAGAGAGAGAGAGATATATATATGTAGATGTATTTTTACAATAATACACGCATGTTCAATAATCAACGTCGCACTTTATTTTATTTGTGGAGGATTTTGCGCATAGTCTTGTTGCATTTGTTGTTTTCCATGCCGTACGTCGTTTCCGATGCTGTATGGATAATAAACGGATAAGTTGTAAAAAATACGTTGATAACACATGGAAAATGAGTGGATGATAAATGGATAATATAAAGAAAATACGTGGACACTAAATTGATAATATCTACATATTTGATTTAATTTGGAAAATATTTGGCGAGTAAACTGGAAATAAATGGAAACTCAGGAAATGAACGGATTATAAATGGATACTCAATTTATAAAAAATTAAATGGATTTCGTATTGCCTGTTTCTACTTCAAACAGATTGGACAAGGAATTTTGTATGGCCTATCTTTCTACTTTGCTTTTGGTCCTAGATACTGGCCTTATGTTGAGTCTATACTGAAAAATGCTGCCCTTGCTTTTGGTCCCAGACGCTGGCCTTTTGTTGGAGGAGGGATTTCGCATTGCCTTTTTTCAACTTTAAACATCTTGGAGGAGGGATTTCCGATGGATAGCACATGGATGAACAATTGGTAAAAAAGGGATAGTATTCTTATATGGATAAAGCATGGATGGTACATGGATAATGCATAAAGCCAAATGGATAATAGCTGGATATAATGGCTGAACAATGGATAATATTTGGACATTTGGACGGAAATGTGAAACTTTATGGAAGGAAACTGATAATATATGGAAGCAATAAAAAAAATATTGGACGATATATGTATGGCATATGGATGAAACAATGATGACAGAATGGAAAATACATGGAAAATAAATTGCTAGTACATCGATAACAAACGGACGAGCACAAGACAATATGTGGTGATATATGGGTAGTAAATGGATAATTAATGGATGATAGATTGGTAATAGCTAAATCCAATGCATGATTAATGCCAAATACATGAATAAACAATTGACAACAAATGGATAAACAATGATTAAACGGATAATAAATGGACAATGAATGGATACTATACATGGATAAAACATGGATAACTTATGGATAACACGTTGATCGCAAATCGATATTGAATGTGTTATATGGACGCTAAATTAAGAATAATAGATGGATAAAATATGGATGGTATGTGGGTAGAATTGCTCAAAATCTTTTCAATTGCTCGAAAATGGCTTGCTATAGACCAAAACAAGTATTCAAACGCAATGGGCCTGGCCAGAAAAGTTTGCTCAAAATTGGCCTAAGGATTGCGTCTAGACTAAAACAAATATTAAAATAAAATGGGCAAAAACGTTACGACCTAGCTTCAATCTCCATAATTTGTGAATTCCAATTGTGCAGGAATGACATGTAGATTGAAAGGACTATTCAAATATACAAATTGCTGGCCGAACAAATTCCGCTCAAAATCGCTCAAAATCGCTCAAAATTGCTCAAAATTGCTCAAAATTGCTCAAAATTGCTCAAAATTGCTCAAAATTGCTCAAAATCAACTCAAAATGTCTCAAAATGTCTCATACCTGCCCCAAAAATCCGCTCAAAATTGCTCAAAATTGCTCAAAATCAACTCAAAATGTCTCAAAATGTCTCATACCTGCCCCAAAAATCCGCTCAAAATTGCTCAAAATTGCTCAAAATTGCTCAAAATTGCTCAAAATCAAAATGTCTCAAAATGTCTCAAAATGTCTCAAAATGAGTTTTGAGAAAAATTGAGTTGATTTTGAGACATTTTGAGACATTTTGAGACATATTGGGACAGATTGAGACATTTTGAAGCAAACTGGTAGTTGCTGACAGTGCCAAAGGCATGAAAAAATGTAACGCTGTCGCAAACTTTTTGAAACCGAAAGCAAACAGATGTGAATATTTACAAAAAAAAATTGATGAAATGGTGCTTTTGCTTATAGTACCGCAGCATGAATACTTACAGAAAAGTTTGATGAAACACTGTTTTTGCTTATAGTACCGCAGCATGAATGCTTACAGAAAAGTTTCATGAAACACTGTTTTTTGCTTATAGTACCGTAGCGTGAATACTTACAGAAAAAAATTTTCCGCGCGCAGCGCGGAATTTTCTTGAACCTTAAGCTTGAAGGTTGCAACATGGAAAACATTTGGAAAAGAGTTTATACAAGAGTGCCGTGGCAAGAGTGCCTGCCTGCATGTCAGGTATGCTCAATTTAGGGCTCATCTCCAGTAGTAGCGTCTTGTAAGAGTGTCCCAAAACTGTGTCATAGCATCATAGCAGAAGTGTTGCTATTTAATGGACATAATCTGCCCTAAATTTATGGACACAACCTGCCACTAATTTATGCACATAACCTGCCACGAATATGGACATTACCTGCCAGTAATTTACCGACGTAGCCTGCCAATTTATGAACATAACCTGCAACCAATCTATGGGCATCACGCCGAACCCGGGTGGATCTGTCAAGCGGGGCAGCCGTGTCTTGCAAGAGTGTCCACAAGAGTGTCGTGGCAAGAGTTTCTTGGTCCCGCAAGAGTGTCCCATAGCCTGCCACTAATTTATGGACATAACCTGCCACTATTCTATGGAAATTACCTGCCAATAGTTTATGGACGCGACCTGCCATTAATTTATGGACATAACCGGCCAAGAATTTATGGACGTAACCTGCCACTAATTTATGGGCATAACCTACCACTAATTTGTGGCCTTAACGCCGACCATGGATGTATCAGTCAACTGAGAGTGTCCACAAGAGTATCGTGGCAAGAGTGCCTGCCTAAAAGTGAGGTATGCTAAATTTAGTGTGCCTAAATGGAATTAATGGAGTTTAGGTATGCATGTTTAGGCTTGCCTAGAAGTGAGGTATGCTAAATTTAGTGTCCCTAAGTGCCATTTATAGAGTTTAGGGATGAAAAAATGGCGTCGCCTAAGATTTGCCACTCTTTGCACTCCAAGTGCTGTTCCTTCCACTGTCGCCGTCGTCGCTTGAGCCATAAAACGAAAACAGTTTTTTCAACCTTTTCGTGAAGGATGTTTCTAGGGTGTGAGGGTCTGCTTTGGTAATTTTCCCGTTGGTTTGGTACTGCTTTGGGGATTAAAAAGGGGCGACTTTTTAGCCCCAAAAAGGGGCTCCAAAAATAGGTCAAAAAGGCGCCCCCCAAAGTCCCAAACCAAACGGAAAATTACTAGTCTGCTTATTGGTTCTTTCGCTCCCCTCATCATCCTAGCTCCCCCTTCTGTCGCTACACGCATTACAGTGGCAACGGCCAGATGAAGTGAGGATGCAGACAACCGTATTAGCTAACCAAGTGAAGCCACGAACCTGGATGCCAAGAACAAAAATCCTACCCTGCAGAAAAAGGATCCTAAATAAAAAATATATAAAAACAAATCTTGTAACCCTCCTAAAGGCTCCCGGCGGAGTGGATGAAGACGTCCCTTCTGACAGACAAGGGGGTGACACAATGGGGTAAGGGAAGCTATTAATAAATTAGTGGCAAGTTATGCCCATAAATTAGTGGCAGGTTATGCCCACAAATTAGTGGCAAGTTACGTCCATAAATTAATGGCAGGTTATGTCCGTACAATTAGTGGCAGGGTATGTCCAGAAATTAGTGGCAGCCTGTGGGACAACCTTGTGGTGTGGACACTCTCGCAAGACACTGCTGCCCGAGTTGACTGATCCATCCGGGGTCGGCGTTATGTCTGT